TCTCCGAACTACAAAGTGCGAATCACGCATGCGACGTTCAAAACATCCTGCACCCTGCGACTCTTAAAGGTGTTTCTTCAAGTTCTGGGTCCTTGGCTTATTCGGGTTTCGTAAATAAGAGTTTAAGGTTTAGGCTCGCAGGTAATTAAGGGCCTTTCTTGTTAATGACCTGTACTTGGGATCCTTCTTTGTCTGAAACTTCTGAACAGCTCATCCTCCCGGATGCGTTCCGCAGAAGCCTGCCGATGATTTATGGACCTACACCCTGGGATGTAGTACATTTTTGGAGAACTTACTTACTGTTAGGATGCGCAATAAAACTTTGGTTGGCAACTGATGCATGTACTCCATTTTGTGATTTTGAGGGTGTAGGTAAGGGAGATGTAGTGCTGAATCAAGGGGTTTGGGAATCCGCAGACCGGACCAAGAGCCACGGCTCATGTACTGAGGCGTTTTAGGTGTCCTATAAACCCTAAACCCCAAACCCGAATTCTAATGGTGTTTCGCGAGGAGTTTAGGAGTTGCACGGTGGGGTTTGGTGTGTTTAGGTGTGGAGTTTGAGTTATTTGGGGCGCTACTTTGTGGGGTTATTTTGTGGGGTTCTAGAGTGCATCTTTTGCGTCTAAGAGCGTCGCTATTTGGGCGTTGGGGTGTAGGATTTTGAGTTTTAGGGTGTACGGTTTTCGGGTTTCAGGGTGTAGGGTTTGGGGTTCTAGTAGGTGTTTTGCGTTTCAAGGGTTTGGGGTAGGGTGTATGGTGTTTTGGCTTTGGGACATAGGTTGCTTTGGTTGTACGGTGTACGGGGTTTAGGCTTCAGAGTTACGGGGTTTGGGATTTTGTCTAGAATTTAGGCTTGAAGGTGTTGCAGTTGTAGGTTGGTGGGGTGGTGGGGTTGGGATGTAGCTCTTGAGATTTTATGGGGGTTCAATCTTATAGTGTGCAAGATTGAGCGTTCCACCCTGCACCCTGACAAGGAGCTTCGCCGCTCACCTTCCTCAGGCCAAGCGCTTTTTTTTGGGGGGAGGGGGGGGGGTTCGGGGGTTTGGCGGAGCTTGGTTTCGGATTTTGTTCCAGAAACGGATGTGTGGTTGGATGCTTAAGCGGACACGTGAAACCAAACCCATCCTGCTGCAGCATGATAGTGTTTTCGGACCCTGGTGACCGATACCAAGAGATCTTACAGTCCAGGGATGTTCATGTCGGGGCGGGTGGGGTTGGGGTTTCACCATAGGTGGAATGTGCTGGTGAGTCGGAGATCCGGGATTTATATCCTCTCCGTCTCCTCGGTGGTGTGCCATGCATAGGGCCTTGTTATTAAGCCTAACATGAAATTATAGACCCAAGCCTGCAAAAAAATAGGCTGTTCGTAGGTCAAGGTACTGAAAGCCATGACACTTGGACCAGGAAGATGGGGTCCGTTGTTTGATGCCCTATTCTAGGGGCCTTAAAATTTGGTATAGGGTTTTGGGGCCCATACAACTATATATTTATAAGAAGGAAGGACGCAAAAATGGAAATTATTTAGGCCCCTACATCACTCTGTACCAGCAAGGATTGCTGTTGACAGTATCGTGCCGTCTCAAGCCGCAGGCCCAGCAAACCATAGAGGTCTGAATAGTTGCTCACACCATCCCCTTATTTTATAGCCCTGTAACATCAGTTATCGTATACTCTGCCCCAAAACACCATCATTTGCCTCACTAGGGCCCCTACGTCCTAAACCCTCAACCCTAAACCCTTAAACCCCTAAACCCAAAACCCCTGTAAACCCTTAAACCCCGAAACGCAACCACGGTAAAGCCTCGGTGGGACTCTGATACGAGCCGGAAAACCCGACCGCGTGGTGCATTTGGGAGAGACTTCCGTGGCCTGCGCAAGAATTCCCAAGATTGCCATAGGTGCTCCTCAACTCTTTACAGGACTTCTGCATGATTTTATATTATACAGCGTACAGGGTTTTCAGAAGATTTGTGAGGTCTTTATGGAACCCGACACCTCGAATAGCTGCAAAACCCTGCGACTCCGACTCCTAGACCGCATAAGCTCTACCCGAACACCCCAAGCTTCAGAGTGTCCCTGCCTTAAGACCCCTAAACCCTAAATATAGACCGTTCCTGATGTAGGGCAAGACACTGCGGAGGGAAGAAAGGAGCTCAACAACCAAGAACAGCATAGACCCTATGACCCTATAACCCTGAACCCTGTGACCGGGAAAGCCTGCCCTAACCCCCCAGGTACCTACTATATAGGGCATATAGGGTACTAGAGCCCCCAGGGCCCTATAGAGTAGGTACTTGGAGGGTTAGGGCTTTGCGCCTGGGCAGGCTCTGGACCCCAACCAGGCGGCTCGCTTTCTTGCCGACGCCATCGGTAAGGTGGACTGGCAGCAGCCGGAAGGACCGGGTGTAGGGTTGAGGGTTCAGGGTTAAGGGTTCAGGGTTAAGGGTTTAAAGGGTTCAGGGTGTAGGGCGTAGGGTTCAGGGTTTAGGGCTTAGGGTTCAGGGTTTAGGGCTTAGGGTTCAGGGTTTATAGCGCTTAGGGAGGTATATGGCTTCAAAGGTTTGGTTTTGTTGTCTGGGGTTTAGGATCGCAGGGTTTCTACGTGTTGTTTGAGGGCTTGAGTGTCGATCCGGGGCAGACGGGTGCTCGGCTTGTGCTTCGGGACATCATTCATCATGTTGATACTCGAGCTGGATCTTCACTGCCTTCGACTCTACACTTTTCTCCGCAGAAGGACTGCTCACGAGAATGGCCGGCAATGCCAACCCTACCCTAACCCTCCAGGCACCTACTATATAGGGGATTCGGGACTCTAGTACCCTATATAGTAGGTACTAGACCCTAAACCCAACCAAAGGCAAACGTCGTAAGAATGTGCAGCGAACGCACGAACCTCAAGGTGCCGACGTCAGATGTGGCAAATGACTGAGTTTGAAACTCCCCGCCCGAATAATTCGGCTTAGGGTTTGGGGTGCCCATAATTCGGATGCTGTCTTGCCTTCCGTGCATACCACCAAAGACAAGCTCGATGTACTTGAGCCATGCTGTGGGTTAGAATAATATAAGGGCCTTAATGTTTATCTGTACTATTTTGGGGTTCCTTCTTATAATGCTAGTATAATATACCCCAAAGCCCTATTCTAATTATCAATGCACCTATATTATGCTCACACTTCAGGATGATGCAGGACATGGCCGCATGCGGGATTTCTTCCACCGGGGCTGTTCAGCTGTGTTCATGCTTCTCAGGCCGTTTTTGGCACAAAACCCCAAACTCTATACTCTTAACCCTGGACAGCTCAAGTCCTAAAGCGCAGGCCCCATTCAACCCTCAACTCCAATCCCTTCTCTTTGCTTTCAATCCCAAAGCGCGCTTGCCAAAGCCTGAGACTCATCTGCCGGTACAACGTAGAGCCCATTTTAACCTACCGCAACCTGCCTTTTCCCTAGGTCCTTCTGATAAACCCTAACATTGTATGTATAGGGAGCCTTCACTAAAGTACGTAGATGATGGTAGGTCTGGTAGGTTCAGGTCAACCTTAACCCCTAAACCCCTACAGCCTAAACCCCTAGAGCCTCCCTGTAGGCCGCTGGGGCCCCATCCCCCGCAAGACGGCCTGGCTCACCTCGGGCGGCTGCCGCTGTCGTGCCCGGGCAGCCTTTGACTGGGGAAGATGGGTGTGACCGTTGGGTTGAGGGTTCGGGATATCGGAGGATCGAAAACGGAGAGACCCGGTTTGAAGAGAATAGAGAACAGGATCGTGAACAGAAGGAGCTGCACAAACAGGGAGGGCACAATAAGATACATCTTTGGGCCCGGACAGGAATTCTGGTACTTACTAGTTCAAGGATGGTTGCCACCACATCCTAAACCATCCTAAACCCTAAACCCTAACCCCCCCATTTACCTACTATATAGGGTACTAAAGTCCCCCAGGACCCTATATAGTAGGTACCTGGGGGGTTAGGGTAAACCCCTGGCAACAAGCTCGGATCTCGAGGCTTTCCGAAAAAATCGAGTTGCTGTGCCAGGGAGTCGCCTGAATCAAGACCCTACTTGGAGGTTTAGGGGTAGTTATAAGTGGAGTTATAAGTCGCCTAATATACCCATGAACCTCCAATAAAGAATCCAAGCGTGTACACCCCTCCGGATGCCTTGTAGGAAAGCCCCAGGCTACGGCTACGGCGGGCTGCGGATAGGGTACAGAGCTCAGGTGTCTTTTCCCCATGCTCAGGTTTGCCGTAACGTGTTCTTTGGCCATCGGCTTTAATCTACAACCGTAAAGAAATCACAATACTTACGTACTATATATGTCCATGTGACCTTAAAACTCGGCTTCGTGTCCGTAGCTTAGCAAAAATGCGAAAGTGAAGATCTTGTATGCGGAGGCCCATAGACGTAGATCCGGCGTATGCAGACAAGTCATGGCTGCATGCGTTTGACGATGATGCGAAGATCTGGGAGAGCGTCTTCGGAGAGGTTCTATCTCACACACCTTCATACTCAAGCCGCATCTACACTAGTATTGGTCGGTGTGTCGGTTCTTCGCTGCGGCAATGCTACCTTGAGATGCCTGCAATCGAGAATATCTTCTTGTCCGTAGTGACTCTGCATGGCTCTTACCGTACAGCGCCGTATATCCGCAAGCATCCTACATACTTGACCTCTCAGCCCTGCGACCTGTATCATGAACCCCGCTACATCCTGGGCTCCAAATTCTGCCAGCCTCAAAGCCCACACCCCAAAGCACGTCAATCTCCCTCAAAAAACTTGCGTGCACCTTCTCCAAAGCACCAGAAAACTCCATCAGACCCCGGTATAGCTTGAATCTTATAAGGCCCAATACCCACCCTGCAACCCATTTAGGCAACCCCAAACCCTAAACCCTAAACCCACCACCCTGCCTGCAACCCATTTAGGAATCATTCTCAGTGGCCTGTGAACAGCCTGAAGGTCCGAGCCTTTCCCGGCGTGGCTGACGGAAGTCACTGCCCTCTGCATGCCCTTGTGCGGCCTACCCGAGGAGAAGGACAACGTACCTTCCTATCTTGCAAAATAATATAGGGGCCTTAATAATCAGACTAAGGTATTTTGGGGCCCATTCTGCGATAATTATAATAACGACCCCCCAAAGATAGTACAGATTATTTAGGCCCCTACCTTAACTGCTATCATAATCATTAGACCGGCTGCAGCTTCGGAGATGAGGGCTTGTAGGGTTTAGGGCTCGTAGGGCTTAGGGTTGCTTTGAGGGAAGCCATGATAAGGAAGGGTTCCAGGACGGCTCTGAACGGATTTTAGGTTTTTTTTTGTAAGGGTTCTGGGGGCTTTGGACTTAGGTACAGGTTTGCTCGTGTAGGGTTTAGAGGGCTGTGTGCTGGTCTATCAGGTGTTGCTTCAGGATTTAAGAATCACGAATACTACTAGTAGTTGTTCTCTCCCAAGACGTCAGCAGACGACACGAGCGCTACCTGGAACATGACTCCCCTTCTTCATTTTCGAGACGTCAGAAGTGACCTTCGTATGGAGTTGCTCAGCATACATGATGATTACAATTGCTACTGCTTATTGTTGTTAATTTGACGATTTCTGCTACTAAACTCCGAGTGGAATCGAAGTTTTCAATGCAGGCTCCGGCCACTTCTCAAGCATCGGAAATGCCCTGGGCAGAGCCTTTTCAGACTTGGTGCCCTACTTGAGGCTCAAGCCATGCAGTAAGTCGAGTTGTGAGTACCATACCCCAAAAACCTCAACGCAGTGCCTGTAAGCTCTACGATACAACCCTGCTGCTGACTGAGACCAGCCGATCGGTCAAGTAAGCATTTCTATTCTTCCTGAACCCTAAACCCCCTTGCATCCTAAAATTATCGCAGATCTCCTATGCTTATAGTAACCCCCAAAGGAACCCCTCAACCCCAAGGGCGACCAGGAAGAGGCCCCCTGTGGAAGGATGGGACCTAAAGCCTCAAAGGCCCCATTCCCCTACTCCCCCAAAAGTCTTTATCCTGAACCCCATGGAGCCCGCGAGCCCTCTGGAAAAAACGTGAAACCCCCCAAGCCTGAACCCCCCAAGGCCCCCCATGAATCATTTAGGCGCCTTAAAAATTTCTGTCTGATTTGGGGTTCAGGGTTTAGGGTTTGTTGTGGTGACGATAGGGCCTTCCTGTTTGGGAGGATTGGCCGGACAGCTGCAATCTGAACCTCTACGAGGATGGCGATCACTCTGTCGGCTGGCACGCAGACGACGAGTTCCTGTTCCAAGGACCTCCTCAGTGGCTGAGGGGGCTCAGGCCTTCAGGTTTAGGGCTTCACCGCAAAAACCGCTTCAACCAAAACATGAACAATTAAACAACCATGAGCAGGGTTTAGATTTGATTTGAGGGCTTTGGGGACTCTGAGGCGTTTCAAGGTCAGTTTTACTTGTGGTTGACCTTGTTCACTAGAGCTCATGAGCTGCATATAGGGTTCAGGTTTCGGTTGCTGGGGTTGGGTTCCTGGAGCTGTCAGCTTTCGGCTTAGGGGCTTCGGGCGGTTTCGGGTTTTGGGTTTAGGGTTTAGGGTTCGGTTTAGGCTTCAGACTTGCGAGTGTCATTACTTGGGGGCCTGTGCGGGGCTTCGGTTTCCAGGTTCCCTTTTGCAGGCTGTTTATCTTGCTGTAATATAGAAGCCTAAATAATTACCGCTACTAGTTTGGGGTTCCTTATACTTTTTAATTTATAGTATCCCCAAAACCCTATTCTAATTATTAAGGCCCCTACATCATGCCATGAGCACAGGAAAGTTTACCGACTGTCTCATCATATCCCTGCGACTCGGAATGCACCCATGGGGTCTCGGTGCATGAGCATCCGCATCGGGCTCTTGCTGTGGTACCGCAACCGCCAGCTGCAGCCGAGCAACAACTCGCTTTCTGTTTTTGGTTGGGGTTCCATGCCCTCTGAACTAGAAGCTTTGTCCGGCTACGAGCGTGAGTGGGCTTGGTGGGCTTGCTGCATAGAGCGGATGACCTGACCATATCAGTACACGTGCAGGTGCATCCCTGCAGCTGACCATTGTCTTTTCAACGTACAGTAATGCTTTTGGACTGGATCCTCAAATGTCAAGAAAATGTATTGCTGGTCTGCCGCTTCAGCTGTTCTGGCACATTATCTTTAGCTTCCTGCAATGAAGCAGCTTGGTCACAAAGCTCTTCACGCAGAGCAACTAAGTAACATGTACTGTTTAAACGGTTCTGTCTTTGGTATCCGATCTCACTCATTAATGCAATTCCAGTAGTAGATGCCGCGAATTCTCGGAATGAAAGCTGTGAGCAAGCTATCAACGATCGCCGTTTGCTCATTCTAGGGTTATTCTGGGCAACGTCTGGAGTTCAAGGCAGTTGAGGGTTTTTGGAACGAAGAATGAGAGCAAATTCCAATCCTTAATGATTATTGCATTCCTACCCCCTACCGCACACCCTGGCCACCCTAAACCCTAAACCCTACACCGGAAACCCAAACAGTCCTTGCAACTCATCCAAGGTCCTTGGGCGGGACGCGCTGGTTCGAGCTCAAGGCGCGTATTCCTCATGACAAAAGAAAGCGGTCGGAATAAAGACTTGTTTTGTTGCCCCTGCAACAGTATACAATAATGCACTGCAAAGCCTGATTCTAACCATACAGGCCCGATTTTGCTTTCTAAAGAACCTCGAAGCTTGGTCTCAGAATCCCAGCCGAAGCATTCAAGAATGTAGGCATACCCGTTCTGTGGGGTCCGTAGATGTTTTTGCAGGATCCTACTATCTTACTTTGTAGGCTATACACCCTAAACCCTAAACCCTAAACCCTAAACCCTAAACCCTAAACCCTAAACCCTAAACCCCTAAACCCTCAACTCCTGAACCTCAAAATGCCCGAATCTATCCGTGGCTCCAAAAACATTGCACCCCCGAAGCCCCCGCCGCGAAGGCCGAGATCCGAAGCCGAAGGGAAGCCTCTTGAAGCCCCCAAACAACCAAGAACAGGGCTCCCCTAAACCCTAAACCGTGGAGCTTTAGGGTTTAGAGACCTGAAGTCGGTTCAGAATTAAAGTAGGCTTAGTAGCTGAGTAGGTAACCTTTAACCTTTTGCTGTTTATATAACCCTACCAAAATTGAAAAGGTCAACCTTTTTGGGCTAGGGTACTCAGCCCCTAAGTAGGAGTTTGGGACTTCTTCCGGCCTTTCTTTTGATCCTATGGGGAGTAGAGGCATACCTTACTACCAAGTAGTCAGCCTCCTACATTGAGCCCTTACGAGCCCTTGTAAGGCGCGTCAAAGCCTCAATTGACCCAGGGTTTAGGGTTTCATATAGGGGCCTAGATAATTACCAATACTATTGTGGGGGCTCCGTATTATAATCATAAATATAGTACAATGGGCCCTAAGACCCTATTCTAATTATTAAGGCCCCTTTTTTTGGGTTTGTCCTTAACAACTCTTTTGTAAGACGCGTTAATGCCTCAGTCAAACGGGGAGCCCTTCGAGATGCACCGAGTGCTCCTGCGGTCAGGCGCCACGGTTTAGGGGGTTTGCAGTTTGGAGCGACAATTTAGAGTGTAGGGTTTACGGTTCAGAGTTAAGGCCTCAGGATTGAAGCGGTTTGGGGCTTAAGGTTTAGGGTTGAGGGCCGGTTCTAAGGATTATAGGATGTGCAGGTTTGAATTTGGGGTGTGGGGTTTAGGGGAGTCAAGTGTGTCGTACCTAGGCCAAGCTAAGGGGACCGACGAGGCTTTTGCATTTGCATGTGCCCGCACACTGTGGCGACTCAAGGGAATATGCAATGCTCATGTGACATAAGTTATGTCGTGCATAAAATTCCGGATGCTTGTCTCTTACAGGCCTTAAAAAGAGACAATAAATAGAATGGGGAGCCTTCTGATGTCAGTTCTGTTGCTTGCTAGATGAATGTATTGAAGAAAAGGGGTATGCTTCTTGCCTTCAGAATTTGACGGTCGCCAGAGCAACTACTTACACGTTTTACGAACGGACTTCAAGCCCTCCCTAAAGCCTTACACCCTAAAAAACCTTAAACCCTAAAGCCTTAAACCCCTAAACCCCAGACCCTAAACCCCTAAACCCTAAAGCCTTAAACCCTAAAAAACCCTACACCCTAAAGCCTTAAACCCCTAAACCCCAGACCCTAAAGCCTTAAACCCTAAAAGGCCCTAAAAAACCCTAAAGCCTTAAACCCCTAAACCCCAGACCCTAAACCCCTAAACCCTAAAGCCTTAAACCCTAAAAAGCCCTAAAAAAACCTAAAGCCTTATAAACCCTTGAAGTACACCCTAAACCTCAACCCCCAGTCATGACGCAAACAACAATCCGCTGCCTGGGGACCCAGGAGACCTCTGCACCATGGAGGGCCTCATGCAGAAGCACTACCAACACCGAGTGCCCAAGGAGGGTTTAGGGTTTCGGGTTCACTACCTCCACCGGGTGCCCAAGGAGGGAAGTCCCTATAAGGCGTTTAGGTGGGGGTTCAGGGCTTCAGGGGTTTGGGGGTTTCAGGATTTGGGGTCTTCAGGATTCCCGGTCTTTAGGATTTTGGGGTTAAGGGTTTGGGTTTCAGGGTTTGAGATTAAGGGGCTTTGCGGTCCGGAATAGAAATAAAAAGCCCAAGCCTTGCCTACGCCCTGTATAGGTTTGGGATGCAAGGGAACCCCTGAAACCCTAAACCCCTAAACCCCTAAATCCTAAACCCCTAAACCCCCCTAAACCCCTAAACCCTAAACCCCTAAATCCCTACACCCTAAATCCGAGAGTCGGAGCCAACATCGAAGGTGTGGATCTGAGCTTAACCGAGGATCTCCCCGGGTCCGCTCTAGGGTTCTAGGGTTTAGGGTTTAGGGTTTGGGGTTTGGGGTTTAGGGTTTAGGGAGGGTTCTAGGGGCTTTGGGGAGTTTAGGCTTTAGGGGCTCTAGGGTTAAAGGGTTGAGGGCTACAGGGTTCTAGGGTCTAGGGCTCCAGGGTTCAAGGGTTTAGGACTCTAGAGTTCTAGGGTTTGGTGGCTTTGGGAGGTTAGGGTTTAGGCAGATGATCAAAGTGCCTGTCCCGAACATAGCCGTTACCTTGGTTCCCTTCTTCCCACTGGCGCGTCCCTTGCAAAGTAGTCATGATGTCATCTAATCTTGTCGCTTCAATTATGTTATGTTGCTATTATTTTGATTACATGCCCCAAAACACAACTCAAACCATGCAGGCCCCTGCATTGAACTCTATTAAGCGCCTCAGAAAACCCTACAGAAGCCTTTCATAATCAAGTCAAATCTCACAAAGCCCTCACAAGATCCTATGAAGCCCCTACACAGCCTTTACCCTTCCCTCCACCATTTTCAGATCCCAGAGCTGCATCACGAGTGAGGGTTCTGGCCTGGCAAAATCTGGCCATGAAGACTAATTAAGTTCTCGCTGTTTCTGTCTTGAGGGTTTGGGGTTTAGGGCTTTGGATTTGCAGTTTAGGGTTTCAGGGCTGATGGAGTTTATGGTTTAGGGTGTTTAGCGTTTAGGGAGACGCCGGACGAGAATTTCAGCTCAGAGCCGGGCAAAGGGTGCAAGGCAGCTGCCAAAGCTGCCACCAATGTCCTGCCCTGACATGCAGAGGAGCGAAATTCCTGCGAAGCGCGGGTGAACCTGACCTGGCATCTGGACGCAACCCTTTATGAAACCTGATAAACAACATAAGGCAACTCTATGAAACGCAAAAAAAGGCTTCAGAAACCTTCCTACAACACCACTATAATACCCACAAGGCTTTTTGCTAGAACCCACGGAACATGCTTCAGTAGGTTCCGAACAGCTGGAGTCTTTGAGAGGGAGCTTCAAACTGAGCTTTCGCAGAGAGGCATTGAACTGCAGAAATACTGTCCATGCAGGTTCCCGATTAAGACAGTTGTATAATAGGAGCCAAAACCTTATATTCTAACGATTACGACCTCTGTATTAACCGCATTCAAGTTTTTGATTTTGGGGGAACGACAAATAAGAACCTTGGATGCTAAGCCGCAGACCCCGGCAACACCCCGGCCTCCGCCTTAACTAATCAACAACCTCTCCCATTTGGTACCCATGCCCCGCTCCTCCCCCCGCCCTCGTCCCCTAAACTGCCCTGGAGCCTAAATCCATTCCACCTTTGGGAATGAACTAGATACAGCAAACAATACCAATGCATAACACTGCCCCTTAAGAACCTAGATCAAACATTGGTATGTTGTGTGTACATTACACAATATATATATATATATATATATATACATATATATATATATATATAATAGTCATAATATATATATATATATACATATATGCACACCCTAATCCCTAAACCCTATAGATCATATGCCCGAAACCCCAAAAGGAAGCCCTCGCCTCTAGAAGTCCAAACCGAGGCGCTGGATCGCAAGCCATGAGCCACGCTGCGGCATGCAGCCAACAGTGGACATGAGGCTTGGGCGCTTTTGGGTTACCCTCAGGGTTGAAGTAGTCCTTATTTATGGGTTTAGGTACCCAAAAAAGGCCTCAAACTCGTTAAGTAAAGGGTACTTGGACCCTTAGGGTCAGCTTTCGGGCTCAGGGACTTTTGCCTTTAGCAGTTTAGGGTTTCGGGTTGGGTTTACGGATTCGGAGTGGGGGCTTGGGGGTTTTTAGGATATTAGGCCTGGGGTGGAAGAGGTTTGACAGGGCTTAGAAGCGTCGTAGGCCCCAAGGGGTTCATAGGGTGCAAGGATCAGGGCAAAGGTCAGAAGGGCTTAAAGTCTCAATATTGTCAGCTTCCACTTGGGTTTGAGGCTTCGTCTCAAGGAGATCTCAATTTTGGGCTTTCGCAGTTTAGGGGTTGGGTTGAAGCAGAGGGTTTCAATTTGGTTGGGCGTTTCGGGTTGTTGGAAACTGCTTGACCGAATCCCCGTCATTTAAGATCCGGTTTCCGGGAACCTGTGTGCGCACTCGCTTTGCCGAGGGATATCTACTAAGACTTCCGAACCCCTCCCCCAAGCCCGAAAATGTACAAACCCGTCCAAGACCCTCATGATGGAAACCTTACCCTAACCCTCAAGCTACCTCCTATATAGGGCCCCAGGGGCTCTAGTACCCTATGTAGTAGGTACCGGGGGGGTTTGGGTTATGCATCCTTAATTTCCTCTTATCCAGCCAGTATAGAGCCCTAGAGCTCCTTAGCCCTAACGTTGCCAAACCCTAAGCCGCCTAGGGCCCCTAAACTCTGAAGCCCTGAACTACCCATAGGCCCTAAAGTAGGTCCTTTTTGGGGTTCATATATAGAATAAGGTAACCCCAAGAAGGAACTACTATGGGGCCTATGGGTAAACTCCTAAACCCCCAAATGCTAAATCCTTGCCAGGAAGAGGCATGCCCCGGCGAGTCAAGAACTGGGCTATCGCGCGAAGCGGCCAAAGAAACTCGCCGTAGCAGGGGTTTAGGCTTTGGAGTTGAGGTATGTTTAGGTTGTAGGGGTAATCGGGTAGGATTTTCGCCGAAGGTCCACTAGCAAATTTTGGGTTCGTCGGTTTATATCCGGAGATACACGGTTTTCTACAGCCTCTACAAGATAAAAAAGGAGTTCTAGACGTTGTTTGGACAGGGATTCTATTCGGTAGTTTCGGGGATTGCTTCTTCAGGGGATCCTAGAAGCAAGGATCAGAGAATTTAAGGCTCCTCTTACTGAAGGTCCTCTAAATTGTGAGACTCCCAATTAGGACCCCTGTTTACGGTGCTCGCATATTTATACATATATGCATATATTGGCATGTAATGTGGTGTAGATCTCTATGGATATTTCTGTGTGAATAGCGGTGTATGCGTGTATTATATATATATATATACACATACACATATACACACATGTAAATGCACAAACATGGGACATTGCATCTTTGTAATACCTGGTGACCTGGTATGTCACCATCCAAGTCTGCTTAGCGTGCTCTTTTGCCTCCCATCTGGGAAAATCTCATTTTTGCTAACTCCGAGTGCACCACACTCCGTGGCTCTGGTGATGGAGTGGGGACGGAAAGCTCAACCCGCCAAGAATTTGGGGGCTTTCGGGGCTTCCACTTCAGAGTTACAGGGATCCCACGAAAAGGCAGGGTGGTGTTTTAACTACAGGGGTTTTGCAAGACAGTAAGTGGCGGTGTCATCATCTCTCCATCCAAAGCCCTCTTTGATAAGGAGAAAAAATATACACCTACATACCTGATCTTTGTAGGTATCCCGCGGAAGGGACCGTTCATTTCTTAAAGGGACCTCGAAATCTCTCAACCGATTCTCAAGTTCCCTTTCTGTAAGACAAGCACTACTTCCTTGGGGGTGTAAAGTCGGAATATAGGGGCCTTAATCAGTACCTATACTATCTTTGGGGGTCCGCATTCTAATTATAGCATAATGGGCCCCAAAACCCTATCCTTTATTGTGAAGGCCCCAATACAGAACCCGAATAGTAACCCTTATAATGTCCCTTTTAATGAATGCTATAAACTGTTCAAATTATGAAGGCCCTTATATAAGCCTTTGAATGCCCTGAACCCTAAGCCCTAAACCCTACACCCTTAAACCCCTAAACCCCTAAACCCCAAACCCCTAAACCCTAACCCCTAAACCCCTAAACCCTAAACCCTTTAAAAGGCCCTGAACCCTAACCCCCTAAACCCTAAACCCTTCAAAGGCCCTGAACCATGATTTGCAGTCTTCGGGTTTGGGCCCCGCAGCCCAGGACGGAGGCGCAGCAAGCGGCGCCCCGCCGCAAGCGCCCGGCCCGGGCCGTGGAGACGGACAGGGAGAAGGTAGGGTTTAGGGTTTAAAGTTTAGGGTTTAGGGTTTAGGGTTTAGGGTTTAGGGTTTAAAGTTTAGGGTTCCACAGGGTTTAGAGAGTTTCGGGGTTTAGGG